AGACGGGCCCACCGGCCTCCTTAGCGGCTGCCTCAGCAGAAACACCAGCAGCTCAAGCCAGGACTCCGCCAAGCATCTCCGCACACATTCCAGTTCCAGTGCGCTGAATGGGATTTAAACTTTTTTTTTTTTTTTTCTTTTGGGATGGAGACGGAATTAAAACATGGACTCTGAGTGTAACATCCGTGTAAGCAGTTTGCAGACAGGGGCTCGCAGCGGCCGCGCACTGCCAGGCACGCTCTCTCCTCTGTCTTGCTCTCTGCCCAGCCTTTGCCACCGGGAAGCCAAGAACAGCTTTATTCGGGGCTGCCTCTGTGGCACTGACCCCACGAGCTCCGTCAGAGCAAGGCCAAGGTGCCTTCTCAGCTACGCAGGCTTCCCCCCACCCCTTCCATCCATCAGCAGCATCTCTGGGACGCGACGCTCACACCACTCCCCCCTCTCCACCTGCAATTTTCCAAGAGTTTGGCAGGGATCCTGGTCCCCAGAGTGAGGGCATCTGCCCATCAAGCAAATTGCGTATGCGAAGGTGGCTCTCATCCACCTCTTCCCTGCAAACCTCACCTGCAAGATTTAAACCGCCCTGTGGAGTCTCACTGCTTTCTTTTCTGTATATTCTGGATTGACGTTGTGGGACCAGCTACGAAAACTCCTGGCCCAGAGCCACGAAAGGCAGGCGGTATCTATTATGCAGCTTTTTAAGATAACACATTTCTTCCGTTGGTTCCCCAGCCGCCAACTGCTTTTCAGTTTGAGAAACAGAAGACCCGCAGCTCTCGCCGGGTTCCAATGACACCACATCCTGCACTATTTCCCACCTGCCATCTTTCTGATCCAGCGCCTTGCAGCACATAAAGATCCCCAAACCGATCACTTAATGATCTAAAAACACTCCTATTTCTTCCTATTTTCCTATAGATTTTCCTATTACCACTTTACTGATGGAAAAAAAAAAAACCTGGCAGGTTAAAAACCGCATGAGAGAGTTGAAAGCAAGTCATCAGCAAAGCAAAAAACAAGACCCAAATACGCTCATTTACAGTTCCAGTCCCTAACCGCAGGATTATGCTTCCTATTTAGCCACAGACAAAAGTTTTGGGTTTGCTCATATTCTCCTCTTGCTCCAGAGCATTCACAGCTACAAAGCAACTAGTGGGAAGCACATTCTCCTGAAGCACGAAGCTGCAATGTTATTTTAAGAGAGGGGATACTTCAGCCCAGCTGTAAATTCTATTAAAGCACATTCACAGCTGCAAATCCTATTAAAGCACAGCGGCAAAAATTGTCTCAGCACTTTAAATATTTAAAAAAAAAAAAAAGCAGAGAAATAGCTTCGTGTGAATGTGCCAAGAAGGCTCAAAGCAAACAGCTTTAAAAAGCCTGTTCCTGTCACGACGCAGCACACCTTGTAACGGAAAACAGTGAAGCCTACAAAAAAGCTGCAGCCCACAACCACCGTTCCGATAGAGAACGCGGCGTCAGAGCTGGAATGTCTCTACCCTGAAATGTGCTGCGTGCAAGAGCACCTGCACCAACGGAAAAAGGACATGAAAAGGCAGAAGCAGGTTAAAAATATTTCAGTAGAAAAAGATGCAAAGTCTTAATTAAAGGCGTCTTTCTGTCTGCGTTCTGCGCTTCTCTTTGCTCTCAGATACAAATTGCGTTTTGCTTGCTCTGGAAACCGTACTAAAAAAAGGACGTGAATAGGAACAAAATAGACGCTGGGTAAATTATCACATAAATGAAAATATGAATTCGGTCAAGGTCTGTAAAAATGCAGTGGAGAGCGATTACCACCCGGTGGCAGCAGGGACTCGCCACTGAGGCATCGCTTCCCTCCGCACGGCCGGCAATCAGCTCCTGGCTGGGGAACGGGATTCCCGTTGGGAAACCTACTCCAACCTGCATCCCGGAACACTGAGAGCAACGGTTTGGGCACCCCTTGGTGCTTCTGCAACTGGCCGTTAAGATTCAGGAGATTCTCTAGAAATATTTAAACACCTGTTCTAACCGGGAGACCAAAAAATAAGACTGAATTTGGTCAATCCCGTTGGCCTAGCGCTGGTTCTAAGGACCTGTTTGCTCCCGCGGCCGCTTCCACTCCCGGCCGGGTTGGTGCGGAGGCGGCAGCCCCAGCGTCCGGATGGAAACGGGAACGTTTCTACCCCTTTGCGCCTTTTGCAACAGCTCCCACGTGTGAACAAAACCTACGCCGGATCGAGACCCATCGGCTTGAGACGACGGACCCGCCGAGCAAAGGCGGGTGTTCGGATCAGGTCCACGACGCGCCAAGCACGAGAACGCGCCGCGGTCGCTCCCCTGCGCGTTTTCAACCTCGGCCTCTGCTCTCGCACGCAGCGATGTCGGGAATCCTGCTCTGTGCGGCACATCCAGGCGCTGACCGACTTCTGGGGAGACGCCGGGCACTCGCGCTCCGTTTCTGCCGCTTGTTTCAGACGGGCAAAGCCGTTGTGGCCAGCACCCAGCGATTAAACGGGCAGGAACAAAGCGCAGGATTGTTTCCCCTCACTTTGGAGATGAGACGGGCTGGCGGTTCGCAGACTCCAGCAGCACAGAGCGGGTGATGGTTGAAGCGCTTAATGGGGATGTTGTCACGATTAGGGACAGTTATCGCTCGTGTTTATTAATGGATCGATACTCAAGGCCGCACGGGACCAGCCTGCGGTAGGAGCTCGGAAGGGCTCGGGGCTCCCAGCGGGCCCGGCCC